ATATCAATCTAAGTGACAATTCCCTATAAACCTTAAAAAACCTGTTGTTTTTATTTAGGGTGAATTGCTCCTGGTAAGAAGATAATAAATTCTATAATTCTGTTAAATATATAATTAGAAACATACCCCTTTTTTAATCATAAAAGGAATTTCTAATAAATCTGGATATGAAATTCTCAAAAAACTACTCCTCTATTCACCTGTCAAGACTTTGGTAGCCTCTTAGAGAATAGTAAAACTTTTTGAAAATTAAATTGGACAATGATAAATTTATCTCTGCTCAGACTATGGGAGAAAAAAACTCTTGCAATAGACAATACTCAATTTAATCCTTTTAAAAATACACAATATCACCTCAGTATAATTTCAAAAATAAGTGCTCACAAAGACAAACAGATACAATTAGCAATCCTTCCATAAGTTTAGATAAAGCTGTTACATAGATTTCGCAGAAATCAACAAAGTAAATGATTGTAGTAATTAAATAATAAATTCTTCTGTAAGAATCTTTATTGCTTTCGATTAAAGGAAGAAAAAAAGAGTTGCCATTCACATAGTTATTTGGAGTGTTTGGTCAGTACTTGATTTTGGCCATAGAACTATGAAGAGTGCAAATAACTAAGTGGTATTTGGTTATTATTAGGGTAGGTAGATACCTCACATATGCTGGAAAAGAAAGACTGGCATCTTGGCCCAGGAAGAAAAATCTGCAAGAAGACTGTAGTCTAATTTCCTTAGTTTGTACTAGTCAGACTTCCTGGGAACATCAAGCTTCTTTCATGTTTCCCCACCTACCCAGTCTCACAACACTAAGGCCTACACAGTCGCACATAAGGGGACTCAAACCCATGCTGACCTGCATTGACCCTGTTTGACAGGATGCTCTTCATTTACTTACATTTGCATTGCAGTTTTGAATCCACTAATAGGCTTTGGGTGCCATCCTTGTTTCAGGGAAGACAGTATAAATTCAAATAACTTGAAAGTAGAGACTCACAGTTAATTGGAACATTGGTCACTGACCACTCCTCAAATTGTAAGACCACAGAAGAGAAACCCACTCTAGTCCTCCAGGTAGTTTCCACTTCTAGGCTCTGCCTACTTGGATGTCTCCCACCTGGACTGTCCTCTATAATACAGGCAAGTTATCTTGCCTGTAATCCACTAAAATCTTGTTGATCTGCTACTTTCTGATCCTCCTCCCAAAGATTCTCTGAGAGAATCCAAGGGTAGGAACTATACATCATTAGAGAATCATCCACCCCAGGCAGATTCCTGAATTCCAATGACAGCATTAGTATAATAAAACTCCTTCTTTCAATTACATCTTCATAAAACAATACTTCATAGTGTTTTCATCCATAAAATAATGACAGAAGTGATCATCTTGTAGCTACTAAGCAGCAAGTAGAACCTCATCTTGTTCAACAGATAGGTAGTGATTTTTATAGAGAAAACATGGATCTAGGGTCTCTAGAAATAGTAGCCCTCTTTTCAGATTAATTGATAGTAGGTTTCAAAGTAAAAGCATGCACCCCTACATGAGGTAATGCATCAGAGCTCAGGGAAGCTATTCTTACTTAAAAGCTTTTGAAGCAGTTCCATGGGAGTGACGCTGCAGGAGTCTTCCCTCCCTTCTATTCAGCTTGCCTTAGTGGCTCAGCAAAAGTAGGAAATGTGGCTTCTCTTCAGGAACATAAACTATAAATAAAACACTGTCTCTGCACAGGTTATTAGGCCACTTCTACAAATTCAGCTCTGCAAAGTGGAGAAGAGGTAACCAGGGTATTGCTCAAGAGAATAGTAAATTATCCCAACAAGAGGCATGCATAACACAATTATTTCTTTTTTTCTGCAGATATGTTTCCACTTCAAAAACCTAGAAGTAGATGGTACACTGAAATCTTTGATATTCATTGGCAGAGAAGATGGAGTCACATATAGTTACAGAAACTTTCTTCAATATCATTCTAGCCATTTCTCCCATCTTGGCAGGAAGATGAAGACAGAAATGCACCAGAAACTTTATAAAGTACCATAAGTGACTTGTGAGATAAGTAAAGCTAGTACCATTAAAATCAGGAACAACTAAATATTACCTGCTAATATCATTGTTATTTAACATTGCTTTGATATTTCCAGCTAATTAGGACAAGAAAATAAAGTAAATAATGTTAGGAATCTAAAAATTCTTTAGTTAGACAAATATTAATGCTTGCCAAACACCAGGTTTACAATTTAGAAAAAGATTTGATACAATGATGTGATCCAAAATAAATATACCAAAGTGAAGGCAGTTCCAAATAAAAGTTATAATGAAAATAAAATCTTATTTACAATAGCAAACTATGAAATACCTTAGAAAACTGACAGAACTGTACAGTAACTATATGGACATAACAATTTTATGTTAATGACACACTGTATAAAGAAAAATTACCATGATTATTGATCAAAAATATTAACATTTTAATCTTTTAACAATAAATACAAATATGGGCTGGGGATATAGCTCAGTGGCAGAGCACCTGCTTGACAAGTGTGAGGTCCTGAGTTTGATTCCAGGTCCCAAAATAAATAAATAAATAAATATAAATATTTAGTGCAGTATTAATCAATTTAATGTTTGTAATTTCTTTTAAAAATTAAATAAAATAATTTTAAAAGTCATATCAAAGCACCAGTGTGAGCCTGAGGTTGTAGCTCAGTAACAGAGCACTTGCCTAGAATGAACAAGGCCTTGGGGCTTGATCCCAGCACTACAAAAACAAACAAAAAAAGTCTTTTGAAG